GAACAAACAAACAAACAAAAGTTAAAGAAATAAAAACAACTACAAAGATCACTACTGCAATCTTCTGTTTGCACCCACCAAAATGTAAATCTGGGGTTCCACTGACAGGCTGACTAGCATCCATTAACACATCAGTGTTGGAGCACAAGACATAAACAGTGCCTTTTGCTAAACAGAACTTGTGTTAAAATAGGGTGCTAATCAAAAGCACCTACAGCGAACGTATGCTTCAGACGATGGAGGCTCAACCCTTTCTACATAGCAATTTTTCAAAAATGGTGATGTCTCACCCTAACAATGCATAATTATATATGCATTTAATGTAAAGTAACATTGCAAATGTGTATCACTTGTTGGCGGCCATTTAAAATGAAAGGCCACATGTAGCCAAGAAGTCTCTCATTGCTGACTACCATATCCTTCCTACCAGCTTTTTAATACTCTTCCTCAAGAGCTCACTAGTGACCACAAGAGGTTCATCAAGCTGTTTGATCTGTTTTCCTGCAACATACAAGTTAAGAAAATAGTGAAAACCCATGGATCCACCTTGGAGCTTAGGGGAGTGGGAGTGAGCTGAATGTCAAGCATCTTTCAAAGAAGGCAGCCTCACCTGAGCCCAAGTCCATTGCTGGAGACCTAATGAATCCACACACATTTCTGGTGTTGGGATGGCTGTCCAGGTCAGCCCATTCATCAAGGGTCACCTGTCACTAAACACAATTAGAGAGGAAATAATAAGAGGTCGCAGATGCATTATTCTGCCTTACAGGAGAAAGAGCAGGATGGAGATATACAGGAAGAAATTTATTCTGAGCTACTGTGCCAAGAGAAAAAAAGTAGCAAGCAATTTCATAGGAAATCAGTCCCAGCACAGCATTTAATAGATTAGAAGCCTTTGTGTAAAACAGCATTCAATCCACTGTGGGTGTCAGGCTTAAAATCGAACAGGCAATTACACACATCTATTCGGAAATAAATTATTCTGATTACTTGAAAGTACCTATAAGAAAGTATGCCTCATGGAACTTGAAGAAATTAATAAAAACCAAGAGATTAATGGAAACTTCAGGAAAACTAGAGGGTATATCTTGTGCTGTGAATTTAAACAGTGACCATCTTTCCAACTGGGTTAGCTGGTCTGACAGTCAACATAATTTAGAATGAAATAATGGCAATTGTAGGAAGGTCGACCACTACTTCCAGCTTAAACAGGAGAAAATATTAAATTGCTGAAGTCCAAGCTCTTTTAATTGGCACAGGGCTGACTAAAATATGGTGCTGTCCAAAATTCACCATGGGCCTTGAGATTTCCAAGACAGGCAACCCCACGCAATGGGGGTTCAACAGCAGAAGAATACAGGAGCTGTCCCAGACGGCCAAGGCTTCTGCTCAGACACAAATTCGAGTCTCACCCACCTACAGGCTGAGAAGTCCAGTGATTCAGTCTCACTGGAGGCTTTTCTAGAACCACCACTTCGTTCCTTCCAAAAATCAGTGCCAAGAGATTTATGTATTTAAAGAGAGGTAGCCACCTCGGTCTCTGGAACGGGCTGGAAACAGAGCGGAGCTGCTGCGCCTCGGGCAGGGCTCCACGAACGAACGTGGCTTTTGCAAACGTACTAATGAGCCATTGTCACGGCGGTGCCAACCTGGCATTAGCGCTTACCATAAATTTACCGCAAGAACACTGCTGTTTGTAATTAGCTCTTCATTACACAATCAGGCTGATTTAGAGAAGCTCTCATATGATTTGCTCAGCAAATGAAGCAATATAATTACACCTCTCTTGAAATCAACAAATTAGGCTGCTCTTTGCAATTGGCCATATTATGTGCTGCTGGCATCCCAGCAATCGTGGGCCTGTTGCGGCCTTTAGCACTTAAATAAAGTAAGCATAATTAAAGTGCTGAATATTTGTGAATTTCCAAGATCAGCTACATACCAGTCACAGTTTTTGCAATTAAAAAAAAAAGGAGTCGAGTTTTATGCTCCACAAATTTTCCATAAGCTTATGGTCCAGTGACGGTAACACCACATAATACATATAGGGATCAGCTAAAACCCTGAGGAGAAAGTAGTCAAAAGGGACAATGCTTGCTCTGGGACAATTTATTTTGCTGTCAGATTTGAGCAGGTTGGGATCAAGGGGAATAGGAAACCAAAAGCTCTTTTTTTCTTCCTCTATGTCCTCAATTAAAATTAGTGTGTCAAACTACTGCCTACATTTGAAAAAGAAAACAAAATAGACCAAACTCTGAAGTACTGCCCTATCCAGGTAACACTTTTGTGGCAATCTCAAAGCAAAGAGGACGAGTTCGACTGCACGAGTGTTGCAAGGCAGTTTAAACAGAAGTGGAAGTTTTTAAGCCAGGAAGGTACTTGTGCTTTCTGGTAGTGACAGCTGACAGAAATTGTTGTTTTATAAGGGAAAATGGGACATTTTGGTGCTTCTCTACAAATACTAGAAATCTAAAAAAGGTGACAAAGTTGTCAAAAGCAACTGACATAGCTCATTTTAGAGCGAGATATGGACTTATTAGAGATACCACCATTGGTGGAAGAAAGTCTCAAAATTGTAGTTCCTGATGGAGAGAGTTCTATATGCTAAGAAAAAAGGACAGTTAAACCAGAAGTGCATTAAATGGTATGAAAAATAATATGGACTGACACCTCAGGTTTAACGGGGGAAAGATAAACATTAGAAAGGTTTGGGAACAAGAAAAACACAGCAACCAGGACTTCACTGTCCATGTAATTTATGTAAATTCCCTGTAAGGACACCATTTCAAAGCTTCATTTTTGATATCATCAGTCCTTTGGGGAAGCACATAGGAACTCTACATGAAGAAAATCTGCCTTTTTTTTTTTCTCTTATTCCTGAGCAGTACTTAAGATATGGTTTGAATAATTTAATGAAGCTTTCACAGGGATTTTGAATTACCTATATTCTACACTTCTGCAGAAGAAAAAAAAAAGATATTCAAAGAGGAGGTACATCAAAATAGGAAAGCTCAGTAGGGGAATGTTAAGAGAAGGAACTGAAAGAGTAAAAGGCCCACCAGAAGCACTGAGAGTTTTGTTTCGTAGCCTTCCTTCTTCTTGTTTGAAGTACTGGCGCTGAGAGGAATTAATATCCACCTATCCAAAAAAGTAAGAGGAGATAGAACAGCTGGATGGGAGGACAGAAAGTGCAGCCTGAGAGCAAGGCATCAAAGCACGTTAAAAATAATAACGTTGTTCTCTTGATGTCCAATCTAAATGATTAAAATCAAACAAAGCTGGAAAGAAGCTAGGAAAAAAGAGGTGCTGAGGAACAGCCCGTCAAATGCATACACATCTTGTAATGAATTATTTTCCAAACTCGGAGGAGGGCAGCTTGCCAAAGAGCAAGACCAAGGCATAAGTCAGAGGGGATGCTGGCAGAAAGCCATGCAACTTCCAAGCATTCACTGTAGAAAGGATTGGGGAGGTTCTCAATGAACTTTTCCTCGCCAGAGGTGAAGTGAAAGGATCTGTCTCAAAATTAATCAGTAGAAGCTGTACAATCCGTTTATAAAAGTGACCACTGTAAGAGGCCAGAACTAGGGGTTATGGAACTGTAGCATGCAACTGTCATTCAGCGTTTTGGCGGAGAAACAGGAGGTGTCCAACAGCACCAGGAAACTCACAGAATATGTAAACAGTAACATTTGTGCACACAGGATACACTTCAGAACCACCGCGTCGTTCTTAGCAAATATAATAAAGAAAAACAAATGGGAATTCTAGGAAGGGGGAATTGCCTTGCTGGGTGAATTAACACCTAATCACAGGATTAAGGGTGGGAAAATCAGTGGTTTTCACGTGAGAGGAAAGGCAACATTGGAATTCCCTGAACTGCTCCATAGGACTCCTGCTTTTTCTATATCCACACATGATTCGGAGCAGCATGAATAGGGAAATGACAACTTTTCAAGCTACTGAGAAAGACTCTCTAAATAGTTCTATCAATCCATCAATAACTGGATGGCAGATGAAATTCACCACAGATAAGCGTGAAGCAATTCACAGGGGAAAGAAAAGCAACTTCAAATATACATGATGGACTGTGAGCTGACAGCTTCTATTAGTCACGAGAAAAAAGTATTGATACTGGATATAAATAGCCCAGGCAAAATGACAGTTCAGTGCTCGCTAGTAATCAAAATGGGAACTAAAATGTAAAGAAAGGAGAAAAACACCTTGTGCCACAAACCGTTTGCATGCCTGTATCTTAAGTGCTATCTACTGCTCTCTTACCTATAAGCTGAGGCATTAAATGGCTAGAAATGGTGGGAAGAACAAAAGGGATGGCAACCACCGAACAACACTTCTGGAAACGGGATGCTAGAAATAACACGTAGACAGAGAGTTTTTAGCTTAGCAAAGAGATGACTAAAGGTCATGACAGAGGAAAGGTCAGAGAGATGATGCCCCCACTCCCTTCCTTACTTATTCTTCTAATATGAGAATGGACTAGTCTCAAAACAAACTGAACTGAACAGGTACTTTTTTTTTTTTTTTTTTTTTAAAATACACTACATTTGAATACAGGATTCATAAAAACCTGTATATAGATTTTAAAAGGTTAAACAAATTCATGGAAGAAACAGTCAGCAAGGTTATTAAGGAAAATAAACGTTGCCGCTTCTGTCGCAAAAAAGCACCTGAGCTGCAGGTGGCTTAAAAGGTGTTTTTTTTTTTTTTTTTTTAAAATACACTACATTTGAATACAGGATTCATAAAAACCTGTATATAGATTTTAAAAGGTTAAACAAATTCATGGAAGAAACAGTCAGCAAGGTTATTAAGGAAAATAAACGTTGCCGCTTCTGTCGCAAAAAAGCACCTGAGCTGCAGGTGGCTTAAAAGGTGTTTCATGTTGGCTTTTTTTTTTTTTTTTTTTTTAAAAACAGATAGGAGAGGAAAGGAGTAGAATTTGTGTTTTATTCTGAAGTCTATTTTCTTCTCCTATGCAACTTCTAAATATTGAAAAAGTATTTTAAGGAACCATAATGTTTTGACAAGAAAGTTAAACATTGATAATATAAAAAAATTGTTATGCCTTTGTCCTTTAGATTTTCGTCTGTTTTTCTTTTTTCAGTCATGTCCTACAGTCAACTTAAATCACACCTGACACCTGGCAAAGAAGCAGTAAAAGCAGCAATTAGGCACAATGAAAACACTTCAATAATTTATTGTCACCCTGGGAGCAATTTGTGCCAGTGCCTAAAAAATGTGAGTCCGTAACCACAAGGCAGTCCCAGATCAAGTAGTCTTGCAGCATCAAAAAAGAAAACTATGGAAGTGCTGGGGTTAAGGGGTATTCAGCTGACACGGGGGAGACATTAGGAAAAGAATTGGCATATTCAAAGTAATTGGTCCATCTCTTTCTCTTCTAACGTAAAGAATTTGTTCCACTCTTGACTTGCTCCACCACCACCCCTTTTATATTCTCTATCTAATGCACAATACAAATAGGGAATAATCCAAGCAGAGTTAAATAGATTTCCCTAACAAATGAGGAAATAGAAGTAGTGCTATATGCAGGACTATATGCACCAACTAGCAGACCCTTCATTTATTTACTCACTTTATAACATAGCTTGGTATGCTTCTGGATTCATGAACACCCTGAAGGTGTTAAAAGAGAGCAACACTACTTTATGGAAAACTGGCATTTTAA